GAATTAGCTCAAGTCCAAGAATGGCTAACACTTAATCAACTGACTCTCAATATAAAAAAAACAAATTTCATCATTTTCAAATCCAACAAAAAACGATTAAGAAGAGATTTGCGTCTCACATTAAATGGGACTGTATTGCAGAGAGTAGAAGATAGTAAATTTTTAGGAATTGTAATTGATCAACACTTAACATGGAAGAACCATATTGACTATATAACTAAAAAGATTTTAAGAATTACAGGTCTGCTTTGTAGGATTCGTTTTTACGTCAATCAAACGCATCTAAAAATGTTGTATAATAGCCTAATTTACCCATATCTCCATTATGGGAATATTGTTTGGGCAAATAACTATCCCACAAGGCTTGATACATTGTTCAAACTACAAAAAAAAGTATTGAGAATTATAACCTTTTCGCCGTATACAGCACCATCTCTTCCGCTCTTTATTAAGCTAAGTCTTCTAAACATTTATCAAATAAATGATTTTTTAATTGGCTCTTTCAGTTTCAGCCTTAATAGTAAAGTACTTCCGTCTTATTTCAACGACTTCTGTATAGGAAATGCACAAGTCCATGGCCATAATACTAGAGCAAAACGGCATCTACATAAGATTTTTAGCAGAACAAATTATGGAAAATACTCTACTAAAAACAAAATAATTGATAACTGGAATAGAATACCTCTGAACATAAAATGCTCGGCATCTATAAAAATATTCAAAAGGAAGTTAAAACTTTTTCTTTTATCCCATGTGGTTATAGAAGAGTAAATAAGTACTCAAATATATTCATAGTGAAATATTTTTAATAAATGTATTATATCATTATTGTAATTAATGATCTCTCTATTAATACCTATTTCACCGACTCGATTTCAGTAATTCAAATAGATCTTTCAACCCTTTCTCCTATCCCATGTAGTGATAGTACTGTAAATAAGTACTCAGTACAGAGTGAAGTATTTGTAATATATGTGTAAGATCAATTATTGTATCTCTGTTCGTTAATTATCTATTTCACTGATACCATTTCAATGAATTTCAATAGATCTTTTGTTACCTTCAGGGAGACTACTAACTTGTAAAATCCCGTAAGGGTTTCTTCAGTCTTCCTCCCAAATTTATTACATTGTAACACACCGTATGTACTGTATAATATTATGGGAAATAATAAACTCAACTCAAGTCAACTCAAATTAAGCTGAAATACCACTGCTCTAAGCCAATCAAATTGCAGAAATTTCTCATGTAGTAGTATAAGGAAAGGTAATAGAATGATTTGTAGTGATATTTGGCATAAATATCACGAATTGTTAGACGTAATTTCACGAGCCGTTAGGCGAGTGAAATTTGAGACAATTTTGAACTAGCACGAGTGGTATTTATGCCAAATATCACGTACAAATCATGCTATTATTTGTTTATACTACTACCTGCAAAAGGTTTGTAATCATCACATGTAAGCATTCAAATTAAGCTGAAATACACTGCTCTAAGCTAATCAAACTGCAGAAATTTTTCATGTAGAAGTATTATAGTCTAGATTGAGCCCGGGGGGGTACTCCCATACATTACCTATACAGGTATGTGCCGCCCAACGGCACATACCCACCCAAAAAATACCCAAGTGCCCCGCTGGGGATCGAGCCCTAACTTATTATCAATTTTCGTCGCAAACTTACCCATAATTACCCTTACGATAACCGTAACTTTCACAAAAAGAAACAATAATAATATTAATATGTATCCATGACCAGAACAAGCGGAATTAAGGCTGAGACTTTATTGAAGGCTTTTACATTATCAAAAAGCTTGCTTTTTAATTTAAGAGATGTACGCAAACAAAAATGGTGAAGCAAAGGCTAGTTTCCATTTAGTCTAATCACCAGGGCACAGTCGATTCAAAAGCCGATTAGCGCAAACCCGGAGTTAAATTTTAACCCACGTCTCTTTGTTTTTGCTCTTTCAATCTCTACTCTTTAGAGCGTCCAATCATAAAATTGAAGACAAAAAGAATTAAGATGTATTTGTTCTTAAATGCGTTCATACCTGGATTAGAATTTAGCACTGGCCCCGGGTTAGTTTAACCCTGCTTTCAACCTGACCCGGTCCAGATGGAGATGATTTCTGCGCTCTGTTTTTCTTCGCACCCATCGGTTGACGCAAAAGTCTTATAAGAGTGGCCAACTTTTATGGTCTTGCTTCTAACAATTTCCATGCATCATAAAGATCATACTGTGACTCACCAAAGGAAAAAAAATTGATTTGACCTTTTTATCAAATTCTTTCAACCAATTCCTTGAAAAGTACATGTAAATCAGAGTCTGCAGAATTTTTATCCCGGGGGGGACTCCGCATATAAAAGGGGTAGGGATGCTCGTCGTCTATCTTAGGGGTGTAAATTTCGGATTTTGGTCTCACTTAGGGTGTTCTGGGCAAAATGCCATCATATTTAGCCGTGAAGGTCTCGTTTAGGGTTGTACACGAAAAAAAGTAAAAATATATATTTGATATGTATATTTTTAATTCGTTTTATTTACTGCCTTAATATAATCCAAGTATTCCCATTTGTCTGTATTTTAACATGGTCTCTTTTAGGGGTCAAGAAAAGCTTGGGCCACGCCCAGATCGGTCTCCTTTAGGGGTTTACTTCAAAATTTCCGACGAGCATCCCCACCCCTTTCATATGCGGAGTCCCCTCCGGGATTTTTATGTTGTGAGGCTTAAAAACGGTTGTGAACAAAGTTCATCTCGGGTCGAGTATTGAATACATGTGTCTTTTTTTTGGCCCACTTACCTACGTTTTTTGGTCGTTCAAGGGAAAGCCACTATAAACACTTTCCTAACTACAATAAATTAAACCGTGTAATTCTTACCCTTTGGGTCTTAGCTTTGCATGGAATCCTACATTGTGACCAAAAGAGTGAAAGCTTCTTCGCAGTACTTTCGTCTTTGGTGCACATCTAGCTCATACATTTTACAAAATAGCATTACGTAATTAAATATATATATACTGAGATCTTCTTTAAATGTAATTTTGGGTGTGGTAGCTTTTCTGCAACCACTGGGCAAAAAATGGATTTGCACAAATCTGCTTTCGGCAAACATGTTGCAAACATGTAATAACGGAGGAGTGAATCTGGGGCAAAGATGGTAAAATAAAAAAAATGCTACATTTGCCTCCTTGTTTACAGCGCCGTGTTTAATGGTAACGTTCTTTGTCCCACATTTACTCCTCAGTTTTTACATTTTTGCGACCCATTTGCTAAGGGTGGATAGAAACCGGATAAATCATTGAAAAGGCTAATAGCAGTCCGTATTCTTAAGTATCCTACAAAATGTAATGCCTTAACATGCACAAAGAATATTCAGCCACGACCATGGCTTTCCTATTTCTTTCATAAATCATAATATATACGAACAGGTGATCAGTGTGAATCCTGTTTATTGACATCTGAATGTTGTCCTCATGCGATATCTCGCTGAAATTGTCCACAATCTGTTGAGAAAAACAAAAACGATAACAAAGATCGGAAGTCTTATGCGAACAGAGGTGCAAAAATTTCCTCCCTATCAGAAACATGATTGACCTTATTAGACTCAGTCCAAAAATGATGGCTAGTTTAATACAGAATTCTTCAGCGTCGATGTTAAACAGCCTGACTAACCTCAGTAAGTCAGATAACATGTTTTCTGAATTTTTAATTTTGAATGAGAAAGGTGGGATTGATTTTAATTTGGTCAGAAGAATTTTAAACATTCTGGGTAGTACTACAGGTCTGAGGCGCAGGTTTTGTTTTACTTAAAACGTACATCATATTTGACTAAGCTGTTTGTCATTATCATATTACTTCATTATTGATCGTGACCAAATTATAAGTATTTTGGTAAACTTTTCACAGTTCATAAGGACACTTCGTGTTGACTATCATAAAGATCGTGCATTTCGTTAGCGTTCGTTCCGTAGGCTTAGATAACAAATCGAAAACAATATTCCACGGTCTGTACTCATATCGACTAAAAGAAATGTTGTCAAAATGTTCAAAACTCAAGTGGAACTATGAGCCGTAGGCGAGAGGTTTAAATGCAAAGTTTTGAACATTTTGACGTCATCTCTATGGTAGATAAGAGTACAGGCAATGAAAAAATTATTGTCGATTTGTTATTTACAATAACATTGACAGTTTTTGACGTCTATCTCCGTTGAAGTTTCTCGCAAGAAAGAGAAAAATAAATAGCGCCACCATCACGTCAGTTCCACGGCCAGCACTCTTATTGACCATAGTTCTCGACCAATCAGCGCGCGAGAAATCGCTCAGGTAAAAAGCGATTTCCCATGACGTCACGTCCGCCATATTGGTGCCCCAAAACAATAAAACGGTGACCATGTTGAAAATCCTTCAATACGAATGACCGAGAGCAGGTTTTATGAGCCTGCAAGACTAAGCACTTCAACCAAACCCCTGTTTTCACTAAAACCTTTGGACGCCACCACCTGGCTTAGATAGGTCATTGTTATCTAAGGTCTTCGGGCCATGTTAGTGTTTTAAGCCAGTCTTGTATGAGTTCAACCTTTCTCTACTTTGCGAAAAGTTTCTTTTGTTCCAATTAATTTGCACAGCTGCTGAAAACGCTCTATGAACATGCCCTAAAAATGTTTAAACTAATTTTACGGAGCTGTTTCCTCGCCGGACCTTCAGATTCGTATGTGATTTTCCCCCCCTCGGGACGAGAAAAGAGCAAGTAATCTCTTACAAGTCTATCCTGAAGTCTATGTTTCCACTAAATATACTTTAAATGTATACTTTTATTATACAGACTTTGTTAAGTTGTTTCATTTAATATTAGAGTAGCGATAATGTCAGTAGTTTATTTCTTTTTAATAATAATCATCATCATCGTTTGTCTTTTCTATCTCATTTTTCATTTTGAGGATAAAATGCAAAAAAGGGGCTAACTTACGTCAACTGCATAGGAATTCATTTCTTAGCTCCCTTTCCTCAGTTTTCTTTCGGGCATTTAACCCCAGGACATGGATCATATGGCCTGGGATCGAAAATGACAGTTTGGGTGCTTCCCCCTTTAACGTTTGACGTCACAGATGCCGACCCAGGCCCATGAACCGTGAGGGCGACATTGTTAGAATCCACCTGACTGAAAACTTTTTGAGGCTCGCCTGCATTGGCAACTTTAATCTTGTGACCATTGACAACTTGTTCTTCGTCTGTGAAGTTGAAAGAACATAAAAATAAATAAATCCATATAGATAAAATGAACGACTCAATGGTGGGCTGAATGATGGAAGGAAGGGAGGGAGCAAACGAGCAAGCTAGGAAGGAAGGAAGGAGTGGAGTTCGACTGCTCGATGGATGTGGTGCGGAGAGTGTGAGGGCGCGATCCATTCAACCAACATTCAGACCGGTCCGACCGGGAAAAGAGGACCACCTCAAAAGGTGGACCTGTTTTTTCGAAACTTTTCCGGTTGGACCGACCCGATCCATTGAGTTTTGGACCGAAATTTCCGGAAATTTTGGTTGAATGGATCGCGCCCTGAGTGTATGCAGCGGCAGATCCAGACCTTCAGATAAAGGTGGGGGGGGGGAGGTCATCCAGACCCTGAGATAAGGGGGCGGGACGGTGTCCAAAAAACATTTTTTCGGCTCTTTGGGCCTCAGTTTGGTCTAAAAATAAGGGGGGGGGGGAGGGGGCCGGACCCCCTGGCCCCTCCCCTGGATCCACCACTGGTATCATGAATGAGAGACACGTTGCAGGATATTTTTATGTCTCCTGACTCTCCAAAGGGAAGTTTCTTAGTCTAATTACAATTTAAGATGATCAATATTAAATAGGAAAACAAATTAACTAAAGAAATCTGAACGTAACCTAAATGAACAACAGAAGCGTTAGAAGTTTTGCACCTAATTTACGGCTAGATAAGACAATAGGTCGAAATTTGAACTGTAGAAAACGTCGTCTGGTCATTAATACACATCAGGAAACGTAAGACACTTACAATGTTAAATTTTTTAAATCTGCGAAATTTTCCCAAGAAACTCAACGCCACCTGCCCATTTTGCGTAAATGTGTATAAAGGAATTTATGTGAAAGGTTTGAACCCAGGAGTCATTTTGAAAGTAGGTTGAGTTTGATCGTCCGGGTGAACGTAGTCCGCTAGTCCTGAATAGGACTGTTGTTGTTGACAGTAACTGACGTTTCGACAACCTGTGCGGTAGTCATCTTAAGAGTCAAAGGGAGTGGTTGCATCACGTCTGTTGATGGTATTATACTTCAGGATACTTCACCTTTTTACTACATAGTTTTTATCATCACGCACACGTTTACTTTCGCATTTGAAAGTTGCGTTGCCCATTGCAAGAAAATCGCAGAAAATACCAACAGTTGTCGATATTTGCAGGATTGATCTCAATCTGTGTATAAATCGTAAGCTCCTCTAAAAAATGAGCCGCAGTGTTTTGAAGTTCAAAAAATTCGAAAACCAGGGAGAATGGAGACTAGAAAGGTGCGGTTTCTTGGTCAGCGGACTTTCCTTTGCTACATGCTCATTGAGGTCATTCTTTTTGGCGTCCATTTCAAAATGGTTGTAGCGCTTTCTAATTTTGATACCTTGTAATCTTTTTTCGACTTTCGGAGCTTGGAGTCTGTTTACATATGTTGCTTGATTACATGACAAGACGGCTCATGGGTGTTGCAAATTATTATCGAACTGTCAGCCTTTAGTGATCGATCATTTTACGAGAGAAGCAGCCCTTTATAAATTTCGAGACGCAATCATTTGACCTGGAGATGGAAACTTCGTGATGTACTTGTACAAGTATGATTTGAAAGTTGAAGTGTTCGATTTTTTAACTCACGCTAACCAAGACGCAAGATTTTGATGGACAAAGCAAATGGTAATACGAGGTAAGCTTCCCTGCTTTGCCATTTCTCTGCCAAATATAAGCTTATTGTCCCTAGTGCTTAGTATAGTAACGTGGGCATATGAAACAAGCAATGAAGTAAAACTTAACTAGTTTATGTATACATTTATAAAATAACTAAGATAGTACGGGCGTTCTGATTGATTAAAAACCTATGAATTATTGTGCCGGTTAACTCATAGAAAACTTAATGTTATTTTATAAAAGCAATAGACCACACTCGAAAAGCCTGTAAATCACTCGCCTTTGGCTCGTGATTTACAAGCTATTCTCGTGTTCTCCCAACATCCCGCGTGGGTTATCACGCTGGTAAACCCATAGAAAGGTCCATTGCTTAAATATCTGTGATTACCCATCCAGTTCTTAAAGCACTTTGTAGGCATCACCATGACCCTATTGCAATTTAGTAAAGACCCTGAGAGGGTTCAACTTTCTCCTTTGTTCTGGGGGATGCTAGGCTTCCAGCTAGTGTTGCTCACAATACGCCACTTTACAGTTATGAGCTTAGCTCCTAGCCTCTGAGTAAATGTGAGGCTGAGGTTGACCCTGTTTTGATACAAAGCTCTTTCCTTTTCTTATGAAAATTATGCTAAAAAAATACTAGTTAGCAAAAGAACAACATAATTAAAATAGTAAAGCTGGAAGGTTTGTATCAAAACAACGTCAACTCCCGCCTCGTTTTCACCTGTAACTGTAAAATAGTCTATTGAAGACAACAAAACTGGTCAGTTGTAAAAGAAGACTGACTTTGGACCAGGGGCAAAATGTAGAGAGGTTGAACTGCAAACTGCAGACTTTAAATGATAATATTAATGATAAAAAAGATAAATAGTTAATAATTATAATGGTGAGTTAGTGGGTGGATAAATGATGATGATGACATCGATGGTGTCAGTAACTGAATTAGATCATGGACAGGTGGGCAGAGGTACACGTTGCTAATTTTGGAAAATTTGATTGAAGCCTTTCATGTTTAATAATTTAAAACCCATTAATACACGGGTTTTCATAATTAATAATAAAATCTATAAGCCTTTATTTACTAGCCACGGCACTATTGCAAGTAGCAACATCTATTTAGTTTGCCTTTATTCACAGCTTATTTTAAAATGTGTCAAATCCACTCGCATTGAAAAGGGGACAAGGGAACAAGCACGGGGAAGGGAACAGAAAAAAGGAAAAATGGGAACAAACTTAACTTGAACCTAGCCCTATCAGCATCTTCATTAACCATTCTCCGACCTGTTCTCATTTTTCATTTTCCCATTCCCTATTCACTTTTATAGTAACATCCACTCACGTTTGGGGTTATGGTCTTCCACAGGAACACTACTTGCAAGATTTGTCGGCACCTTGTTTGCTTTTTCTTTGATCATTTTGTTCTGTACATGAACTGATGGAACATGTTGCTGGTTTTGATCTTTGGTCGCCAAGGGTGGTTTCTGCCCTTCTTGCAATGCAATCTTCGGTTTTTGTTTGCTAGACATCCTTGATAGATCCTTGTTCATAGCCACGGTAGGTTGCTGGTGATCAGATTTCCCTTCTTTTGGTGCCGCTTGCGGTGAAGGCAGCTCTGACAGTGGGAGGACTATAGGTAGTTTATGACCTTCAGAAAAAAATTGCAGTTTTATTATCAAAACCAAATTAAGATTACAAGCATTACTGCTTTGCCTCTAACCTTTATCCCCTTGTCTATTCCTTCACTGTTTTATCTTTTCCCTCATAATTCTTTTAATATACTTGTTTTTCTAGACAGGGCAGTCTGTAGGCCACAAAAATTGACCCTAATTTTTGTTGGTCCATAGTCTCCTTGGGGTGGGGGGGGGGGGGGCACTCAACCTGGGGCAGCCCCTTCCCTGTGCAACCCATAGAGGACGGACTGCCCCCTGCCCTGGGCTAGATCACTGTATAACCAGTAGTAGTCCTGGATACCATTCATTGAACTGATTTCAAATAGGTTAAATTTAGCTTGGGTTTCACCCACTCATTCCTTTTCTGTTTTTTTTAAATAAAAAATTGTTTTTTGATAAAAACNTAATCCAGGATTGAAACTTTGTTCCTTTTTTGTATTTTACATTCGTACTCATTGCTTAGGGTAACATTTTGTGTTATCATCACTGTATCTCGTAGTAAAGGCTCAACTGTATTTTGTAAACTCGAGTTGCATTTTCTTAGACGAGAAAACCATGCTGCAAATTTTGCTTAATCCTGGGTTAAACTTAACCATTTTTTGAGGAACCCGGCCCTGTATTATTAATGCTGATTTAAACTCTTTAAGTGAACTGATCCGGTATGGTTAATTCAAATCGACTTTTGCTCGCTTTAAATAGCTAGCTAAACATGAATGAACAAGTTTGCAAGTATCTACTTATTCATACATCATCTACATGTACATCGAACATCACCATAGCCCCTACCCTATCTTTATTTACCTGAATGGACGTTTATCACGTGGTAACTCTTATCCGAAGGGGTGTCTTTGACCACACTAATGGTGTGGTCGGGTTTTGGGTCACCCTGTGCAACTTGCTGTTGAGTGGCTCCCACCGATATAATCCCAGGTCCTTGCATGGTAAGTGCCACATTGTGTGCGTCCATCTGCGCTGTTACTTTGTTGTCTTTTGCCATCTTACGTATGCCCATATTGTACACGTTGATATTCTGTGGGGTTCCTTTGGCTGGGTCATCCATGGGCTGGTGGTATGCCTGTGGTGGTGTATCGTCATTGAGATGAGTTGCCTCGTGAGCTGTGTGACAGAGATTTCATAAGTACGTCATGTATTAAAGGCGTTGTGTCACGGCTGTCATGTTGATATTGTTGATATTGCTAATTACGCTTCCTTATCGGCTGTGGATCTTGACATTATGTCAAAATCACATCTCGAGCATTATATCAAATGTTACAAACAACAAAATTGAACTTTGAAAAAATGTTAGCCTAACAATATTTCCAAAACCCACAAGTTCAATCCGTTTTAATCTTCTTCAAGTTTGTCCATCCGTGCCTCCTTTTGTATTTGCTGTGTTATTGTTAATACCTTCTTTTAATGTTATGAGTGATTATCAAGTTAATGTTTCTCTCAGTTTGGGGACAATTCCTACTTTTAGAATTTTTTAAAATTTCCAAACATTGCTTCTTTGACCTTAGCCGGGGTAGGTTTGGTGCCCCTTAGCTCCCCTTATTTTAATTTGTCTCAAGGCACTAGATCAATAAACGAACCTACATGCATGTAAGCTTAAGTATGTCGCCTGGATTTCTAGGATAGTTAGTGAAATGTCTCTCAGGACCCATTCACACGTATCCGAATATTTTGAATCCGCAACTTTTTCTTTCCGGCTTAAAAATTTCCACGACTAGACGTATCCGTATTCAAATCGAATTTGTCCGTCCACACGTATCAGGATTGACTCTAGTTCCCAGGACTCCTCTGCGAAAATTGGCAAAAGAGCATGCGTCGTAAAGCGCTTGAGATTTGCATCTTGCTCTGCTTTGAGAGAACCTGGGAACGAAGTTGACATCTTAATTACAGTATTCGCGGTAGAAAATTAAGGTCGATCTTGTTACGTCACCGGATATCAAAATGTCCGGATTTAGCGTCCACACGATTTCGGATTCATGGTGTATTCAAAAATTTCCTCTCTGGAGAGCGGATTCAAAACGTTGCGGATTCGTATGCCGGATTCACCATATACGTGTAGACGGAAGCCGTATCCGGAAAGAAAAAGTTGCGGATTCAAGAGTATCCGGGTGCGTGCGGACGGGGCTTCAAATGGACATTATCACAGGTTGCGTCCCTTAAAGAAGGAAACCTCAAATCAACCAGTTAGCATCAAAGTGCTTTTTTTCGACATTTCACGATTTTAGTATGAAACAGGTTTGTAAACTGAAAGGAAGGCAATTCCCATGTTTTATGTCACCGGGAGTCAAGGAAAATGACTGAATAAACGACAGGCGTCAACTCGAGGCGCCAACTCATAGACTGGTGTCTTCCTTTCAAGGAGTCAAAGCAAATGACTGAAAAACGTCAGGGGCAACGTTTTTTAAGCTCAAGGAGTCAATTCTAGGAAGTGTACTCTCAATTGATCGTGACCCCAAAATGTATTTGCCTCATTTTGTTTAGGGAGTGCTTTATTACGTGTGCTGAAGCTATTTACGTCTTTAGTCACAGAAGACACTGGAGGCTCCGACAATAAACTCGGACGGACATGCGCTGCCAGCCTGACAAATTTTATTGCGATTTTAGTCATAAACCGTTTAGAAACCCGAAAGAATCTCAAAGAAGTCTATGTTCGAGAGAAATCATTTTGTCTGTCCTTTTGACACTTCTTCTTTCATATTCTCCAATCCCTTTTCTTAGTACGTGTAAGTGTCTAAATGCATGTTTCATGCTCTAGTTGTCTCCATTCATGACGATTGTCTGGACAGCGTTTGTGCATTCACCGGAAACACCACCGCATTTGAGATCACTTTTGCATGTGTCTAAGTCTCAAACTTGGGCGACAATTTCTCAAATTTTTAAAATATAGAGAGGTGACAGTGAAGGAGGGCAGAAACTTTTATGTTGTTAAAATTTTATTAGCGAACAAACAGGTGTTACTCATTAGCGAAATGGATCAGTAGACGGTTAACTCTATTTTCTTTTCTATTTTGTATTTTCACACAAATTGTGATTTAACTTGTAAATAATGGTATCATTCAGTTTTTTGCTCCCTTTTTATTCTGGCCGAACATATTTCTTCTCAGCCTGCCACCACCTTCCAGAGAACCTTTGTTATTTGCTTGTGAGACAACTACGAAAGGTTAAGAGCTTGTTAAAAGTGCCTGTGATTGACAAAAGTCCAATCTACTTCCTTTTTGTACGCTGTTAAATCTGTTTTGCAGATGTTAACGGCCTGTTGAGCTCCATAATCTTTTACGATTTCCGTGCGCGGAAAAGAAATTTTGACTGGTAACACATAAGGTTACATAAAAAAGATTAATGTGCACGAGCGCCATTATCTCAACCTTTGTTGTTAAATAACATAGTCGCAGCCGCGAATCCTTATGTTCCCCTTCATTAAGTGATAATGAAATCATCGAGATCCAAACCACAATTAACGTTAATCGACGCATCAAAAACAAAAGCTTCGACAATGGAAACGTCACTAAACAAAGGATTTAATTAGAAGAACAATGGCTTTAGTTTGTGCACTTAAATGCACTTTAGTTTATCGGAACGGTTTGTTGACAATCGTATTCAGCTTCAGAATGTGTCAAAGCATGAACAATAACGAATGATTTGCGCTTTGTCTTTCATGTCGACGACACTTTACGGCTCAGTATTTCAGGTTACTCCAAGGTGCGACCTCTTAGGTAATTAGAAATGCGATTCGTTTTTATTTAGGAAGTGACAACCCGGAGACGGAATGTCGTGGCTTAAAAATCCGTCACAAACAGACAGAAAAAAAAACAGTCGCCAAATGATTTAAACCGTTGGGCGGGCTGATATGGTTATTATGAAAAAAAAATTGTCCAAGTAAACAGCCCATGGAAACCTCTAGAATTGAAAAATTTTAACGCCGTTTTACAAACCTTTCTTGTGCTTATGGTGTCGTGGTCTTCCCTCCACGAATACTGCCGTACAAATAAGAAAAACGACAAACCAAGCCATCGCGACAGTTGCACTAGTGGACTAAGATAAACTACGAACGTAACCTTGTCTAAAGATAAACTGGACAACTACGTGATTGTAATGGAGTTTGTGGTTCTTGATCAAATAACCCGAAAGTGACTTCCACGCTTGACCTGTCGCTATTAGTTAATTAATCGAGAAAGCGCATGACCTTGTAATGTAATATTTCGCTAAAGAGGTTTTGAGTAGACACCACGCGTTGATTTTACAACGCGTGAGATCATTGTAGTGGGGGTATCAAGTTACTGGTAGCCTAACAGCTGATTAGGATTCAGTTTCATATATTTCTGATACGAAAGCTTTCACAATTTGCACGTGCCATAAGCAGTTTTTACTTGTAAACCATTACGTTTCAGAGTCAAAATCTGTTGCTAGGAATAGAGAGATTATTTAAGTGACATAACGGTAAAAAGTCTTCGTCTCTAATTAGTTGAATTTAAATTCGCCCGTTGGATCTCACTTGTCGTGTGGGCGCTAAATCCTTTTTGTACACTGTTAAACTGATCTCTTTTGCAGATATTAATAGCCTTTTGCTATGAATAGAGAGATTATTTAAGTGATATAAGGGTGAAAAGTCTTCCTGTCGTATTAGTTAAATGTAAATTCGCACGTTGGATCACCCTTGAGGTTTCATCTTAGGAGGACATTATCACCGATTGCGACTCAATTTGAAAAAATGGGAAACTGAGAACAAAGTAATTAGTAAAGAGATTTGTCTAATTACACACCTACAACTAAGAGACAGCTGGTTTGTTTCTTCGAAATAATGGGTGCTACGAGATTATCAGCGTCTTAAACGTAAAGGGGCTTTTGTCGCGGCTTCTGGATCACTTTGCTAATATTGCCAATTAGGCGAAGATCAATTGTCGAGAACTTTTCAGACGAACTAAACTGCGCGGATTAAGTTCATGAAAAGCTGGACGTCTGTCTCAATTAAGTTCTTCTGATTGAGTATGGATTGACCAACACGTTCTATCTGTCTGGTTTAGAAGTGTGTTTCTTACTGGTTCGATGCGTCATTATTTCTATGTCTGACCCAGGAGACGAACTCAATTTAATGTAGGTTTAATCTTATTCAAGTTTGTCTAAAGAATTTGTTGTGTTATTTAAACCTTCATTTGTAATGTTTGGATCGGTCATTTTTTCCCTTAGTTTGGTGGTAATTCCCCGTGTTTGAAATTATGGTAGACTACGAATAGTCCCCATTTTTCCTCAGGGATAGTAAGAGCGAG